TCTCTGTGTGTGTCTCTGGTGTGTCTCTGATGTGGTATCTGTTTGTGTGTGTCTCTCTGTGTGTCTCTCTGTGTGTCTCTCTGTGTGTCTCTCTGTGTGTCTCTCTGTGTGTCTCTCTGTGTGTCTCTCTGTGTGTCTCTCTGTGTGTCTCTCTGTGTGTCTCTCTGTGTGTATCTCTGTGTGTCTCTCTGTGTGTCTCTCTGTGTGTCTCTCTGTGTGTCTCTCTGTGTGTCTCTCTGTGTGTCTCTCTGTGTGTCTCTCTGTGTGTCTCTCTGTGTGTCTCTCTGTGTGTCTCTCTGTGTGTCTCTCTGTGTGTCTCTGTGTGTGTCTCTGTGTGTCTCTGTGTGTCTCTGTGTGTCTCTGTGTGTCTCTGTGTGTCTCTGTGTGTCTCTGTGTGTCTCTGTGTGTCTCTGTGTCTCTGTGTGTCTCTGTGTGTCTCTGTGTGTCTCTGTGTGTCTCTGTGTGTCTCTGTGTGTCTGTGTGTGTGTGTGTGTGTGTGTGTGTGAGTGTGAGAACCTTCAAGCAAGCCCAAACCCCAGAACCCTTAAATTCTTGAGGTCTGCTTGGGGCTTACCACAACGAGGGCCGTACTCAGAACTATAGTACGTTTATGGGGCTTTGAGGGCTTAGGGCGTTTGGCAGTTCATAGAGTTTGGTGGGGCTTGGGGGGTGTTTAGGGCCTTTACAAGGCCTTTAGGCTCAGGGCTTGTGAGCCCTTAGCTGCCCAAAAACAAAGGGGCCACCGTTTAAACCATACAACCCCAGGTTCAACCCCAAACCCGTAAACCCCCGAGGGTGCCTAAGGCACGAAAAATTCCTCAAACTCCCGAAATGTAAATTTCCTCCACTATAAGAACCAGTGCTTTGGGCAATCCTGTCGTTGGGTCTCAGGCCCTCGGGGCTGCCCCAAAGGCGGTCTCTCGGCGCTCCACAAAGATGCCCCCCACCCACGCGCGGTCGCCCGGGAGCCGCAAGAAAGGCGTTCCGAGTCCGAAGGGTTGAGGGTGCTGAGGTTTTAAGGGTGTAGGGTTTAGGGTTTAGGCTGTAGGGTTTAGGGTTTACGGTGTAGGGTTTAGGGCTTAGAGTTTAGGGCTTTGGGGTTTGAAGGTTTTGGGGCTGTTGGGGTTTGGGGCTTCGGGTTTAGGGTTTAGGGTTTAGGGCTTAGGGTTTAGGGTTTAGGGTTTAGGGTGTAGGGTGTAGGGTGTGGGTTTAGGGTTTACGGTGTAGGGTTTAGGGTTTAGGGTTTCGGGTTTAGGGTTTAGGGTTTAGGGTTTAGGGTTTAGGGTTTAGGGTTTAGGGTTTAGGGTTTAGGGTTTAGGGTTTAGGGTTTAGGGTTTAGGGTTTAGGGTTTAGGGTTTAGGGTTTAGGGTTTAGGGTTTAGGGTTAGGTTTAGGGTTTAGGGTTTAGGGTTTAGGGTTTAGGGTTTAGGGTTTAGGGTTTAGGGTTTAGGGTTTAGGGTTTAGGGTTTAGGGTTTAGGGTTTAGGGTTTAGGGTTTAGGGTTTAGGGTTTAGGGAATTGGGGGGAGCCCCCTTTGTCCTTGCAAGGCTCTCCCCAAGAGAAAGCTTCCCGATGCTTAGGGTTTAGGGTGAAGTGTGTAGAGTTTCCATAAAAACCCTTGAGAACCCCAAGCCTCTTGTTGACAAGTTGTTACCAGAAACCTACTTTCGAGGCACCTGTTTTGCCCCCCCTGGTCCGGGCTCACGATGTGCTCTCAGATGTCGATTTTTGCAGATGGGTGCAGATGTCGCCCAAAGGCCGATGCTTGGGCAGAACATCACAGATTTGCGGATAGACCATCGAAGCACAGCAAAGTGTTTGTGTTATACCAAAGGGACTTTATCGTACTTGATGATGTGTCATGCGAAGAGGAGTCGTGACCGCAGCCGCCTGAGAGGGATCCGCCCGGGTGAAGCGGCAACGGCTCTAACGGCTCCTACGGCCCTTTTGAGCAGCTTGTGGGTTGATAAGAGAGGAGGATTTCGGCAGAGACCGTGCCGCCCACCGAAGCAAGCAAGAAGGATGGATTCAAAGGCGGGAAGACCGCGGCCACCGCTTCGCGGGGCTCACGGCGTGAAAAACGCGTAAACCGGAAACTCCATGTTGTCCAAGGCCTGCCGCTCCCAGCGGCAGCCCACCCCCTGGGGTTTCTTCGTCCGGGGGTGGACGGGCGCCCTGCGCTCGAAGGAACTGCCGTCGGAGATGCGGATTTGGCCTTCCCCCCAGCCAGGCGGCTTCCCATTCTTGAACGTCTCCCTTGGGTAGGCAGCCAAAACGGCAACTAGCAAGCGCCAACTCTAAACTCTAAACGCCTAAACGCCCTTTTTGTTGCCACCCAAGGCTCCTGGGAAGGCCGTGCAGTTCGGCGTCTGCATCCGAGAGCTCCGACGAGCCTGCGCCGTACTTCCGCACCCAAGCCTGAGCTGGGTGCCAAACCTTGCCAATGACAGCGCGCCTGGAACCTCCTGGCCTGGTTTAGATGGTTTAGGGTTTTGCAGTCCAAGCGTCCTCGTCATATATGTTGGAGACTGCGCAGCAGATCACTTCCCCTCGCTCGTGGTGCCTGCGCACTTCACGCAGCCAGTGGCAGCACCAGCCTTCGGAACGGGCAGCGGGACAGCGCACGGTGCTGCGAAACCTGCTCTCTAGATGCCGGCTAGAGGACGCTTTTGAATGCCGAAAGCCCTCGCCACTCTCCAGCAGCGCTTGGGGACTACTTCGCTATTTTCTGGGCTCTGCAGCTTCATGCAGAGAGCTTCTGTCCGAGCAGCAGACGTAGCTCTTGCCAACCTCGGGAACCTGAGAGGCGCACGTGCAAAACACGTGAACACGTGCATAGGTGACACTCGCCGAAATTCGAAGTTTCCTCAGGCGCCCCCCGGCTCCGCGTCAGCTAAAGCCACGGCTGTTCGCTGAGGCAGCGGCGAGCGACTGGCTCCGGGAGTCCACCGTGGAGCTCCACTTGGCCTCGCGGCCCTGCTCTGGCGGCACCGGCACCATGTCCCGGCCGCAGTCGTGGCTCGGGTGCGTCCAGCGCCCGTCGTCGGCAGCATGGCCGAAGACCGGCTGTTGGTCAAACCACACGATGGCAGTGCCTGCGCACACGGCCGGAAAACCGGAACCGGGGATGCTGGGGTCGGAGGTTTGGGCCCGGTTAGGCAGGCCCCTTCTAGACCTCAGCCCCCCCGAGCCGCTGAACGTCCTTCCTGCGAAAAGATTGTTTTTTTGGGGGAAAACCAAGTGAGACACCCCCATTCCTCTCAACGAATTGTTTCTTGCCATGTATGTAGTGTATCTTTATACCGGTGATACAAAGCATCATTGCAAGTGTCTACCTGCAATTGTGTGGCTATGCATGGATGCTAGAGATTCATGTGAACATATACTGATTTTGTACTTTCCCTAAACCCTAAACCCTAAACCGTAAACCCTAAACCTTAAACCCTAAACCCTGTATGCGTGATTGCAAGCATGCGGGAAACATCAGACATGAACTGCATGATCTGGGATGCTGAGCTGGTCAGTCAAGATTAGGGTTTAGGGTTTAGGGTTTGGGGTTTGGGGTTTCGGGTTTAGGGTCTAGGGTTTAGGGTTTAGGGTTTAGGGTTTAGGGTTTAGGGTTTAGGGTTTAGGGTTTAGGGTTTAGGGTTTAGGGTTTAGGGTTAGGGTTTGGGTTTTGGGGTTTGGGTTTAGGGGTTAGGGGTTAGGGTTTAGGTTTAGGGTTTAGGGTTTAGGGTTTTAGGGTTTAGGGTTTAGGGTTTAGGGTTTAGGGTTTAGGTGTAGGGTTTAGGGTGTAGGTGTAGGGTTAGGGTTTAGGGTTTAGGGTTTAGGGTTTTTAGGGTTTAGGGTTTAGGGTTAGGGTTAGGGTTAGGGTTCGGGTTTTTGGGTTTCGGGTTTCGGGTTTCGGGTTTCGGGTTTCGGGTTTCGGGTTTCGGGTTTCGGGTTTAGGGTTTAGGGTTTAGGGTTTAGGGTCAGGTAGACAACTCGCATTATTTGGGGAAGAATTAGGCTCTTTCTTGAACATCGGCTAAATTGGGGAGATGAGTCTCAACCAAACGTAGTACGTATCCGAAGAAGAAGAAGAATGAGAACTCCAGCGAAACCGAGTTCCAGCAAAATCACCCTTAGATGTTGTGTTATCAATGGAACTCCTTTGGAAAGTCACTTTTTGGTGTCTCCTTTTGAAGCATACGATATGGGCAGTAGACAGACAAACTCAACAAGATGTTCGAGATCGCGGGTGCATGAGGATCGCAATTACACTCTCTTGGCGTAATGCGAGCTGTTGCGTGAAGGTTGAAACTTGCATGGCGGGACGGCAATTGATTCTGTAGTAGTAAGATCTACCTAGACTGCATCTAAATCCTAGTAAGGCGCTTTCATCAGAGTGGACTTCTCAGTATATTCGGGTCAACGTTTCAACTGAACTGTTGGGGTTTGGTCGACAGGATGTACTACATTCGACTTGAGTACAAGCAACCAAGAATTAGAACAATAAACGCAATAGCAGCAAACAAAAAGACACATGGCCTCAGGCCGTGGACGAGTTCCATGTGTCTCGAACGGAGGTGCACGGCGAAGCATGCGAAATACACACACCCAAAGGAAGAGAAGCAACAAAAACGCGTAAGACGCGAACTAGTCCAAAAAGCACACACCTCCGAAGCTCCAAAAAATGTCCTGAACTCCTCGACAGAGACAAAAAAGAGACAAAGGCTGCCTTTAAAGGTCAAGAGGGGGTCCTTCAAGGGCTTTTTCTTAGCCTTTTGGGGGTTTCTATGGGGAGGTCTGGGGGTCGAGGGTGTCTCGGCACACCCGGAGCCGAGGAGCTCCCGTACTCGGCCAGCCGCAGCTGCGCCATCACCATCTCGTAGGCTCCGCCCCCGGGGACGGACGCGCCGGTGGCCGGGAAGCGGCTGCGCATGTCAGCGAAGCAGGTGTAGCTGCGGTAGTAGGTGAAGACGAGGCCCGTCCCGGCCGCTTCCTTGCAGCGCTGGGCCAGGGCCTCCTCCTCTCGGAGCTCCTCAGACGCAAAGTGCCGGAGCCAGTCCGCTCGCGTCGCCTGCACGGCCTTGAGGATGAAGTCCCGGTCGGCTCGGAGCTCTTCGGCCGCGTGCTCCAGGGCAGCGCCATTCGTCTCCACGGCCTTCAGGACGACGTCCCGGTCGGCCTTGAGCTCTTTGGCCGCATACTCCAGGGCAAAGCCATGGCTCCCCACGGCCTTGAGGATGATGTCGCGGTCGGCCCGGAGCTCCGCCGGGGCGTCCTGCAGAGCTTCGCAGACGTCGAAGCCGTCGCCGCTGCGGAGGACCTCGAGGAGCCGCTGACGGGCCTTTTCGGGGAGGCGCGAGCACCGCTACTTTTCCACCTCCCCAAAGGAACTCCCGGCCTCGTCGGCCGGCCCAGCTTCTCCCTCAATCTCTCGTGGCCCGACGCCTCGCGGGGGAGGCCCCCCCCAAAAAAGAGACAGGTAGAGAGAGAGAGAGAGAGTATAGCAGCTGCGCTTAAGTTGCCAAGAGACGCGCAGCACCTACGCCGAAGAGAGCGAAGAAAGCCTGGAGTTTCCACCTCTGTCCCGCGCCCCGCGATTCAGAGGTCCCCCAGACCGTACTGTCCTTGCCCTGAGCCCTTCCGAGCTTTTTTTTAAGCTTGAAGCACCGTGTTTTCTACAGTTGGGCCTCCTGGCGTTTTTTTCTTTTTGGTTGCTCCTTCTGGCGCCAGAGGTGGGGCTGCTCTTAGGTCTTAGGTGCTGCGCATCCACTGTGCAGAGAGCTGGTGAAAAAAACTGTTCACGTGGACCTTCGCAGCTTGGACGCATCTCCGAAGGCGCAGTGTCAGTGTGTGTGTGTGGACCTTCTCAGCGCCAAGCCCACGCCAAGCCCACACGCCTGCCCTCCACGCGACTCTCTTAATTTTTCATTGTCAATTCAACCTTGTGGGTTCTTTTGTGGCTTGGGTTCTCGTGGGTGCTACAAGCCACACGGACCCGCCTCCGGTCGCCTCCGCTGCCTGCAGGGGGCGAGCAAAGCACAAGACGAGCAGAACAAGGACGCGCCGAGAGGGGCTCGGTAGTTACAAAGAGCTTCCGAAGACTCGAGATCCTGAACCGCTCCAGCCTAAGCTGAAACCCAGCCTCTTTTCCCTTGTCTGAACATCACTTCCCACTATGGGTGTTTTCTAGGGCTCACCTCGTCAGGCTTGCTACACCAGCTGCCCATGGCGCCGAAGCCTCGTGGCCAAGCCTCGCCCAGCCCGATCTGCTTCGAGCCAACTGCCAACAAAGACGCGTGAGCTTCAATCCCTCCACCAGACCCAAAGTTCGTGCTCTCGGCTGCTTCGCTGCAAAGCTCAAGAGTGGGTTCAGGCTTCGGCTAGCACTTGCCACGACCCCGCCCCCCCCCCCCCCGTTGAAGTCTAGGTCACCTACATCCGTACCAGACATCGAAGTTGGGGGGGGGGGAGGGGGAGGGGGGGGGGAGGGGGAGGGAGGGCCTCTGGCAGGGCTTTCGAGGGTTTAGGGTTGAAAGTGGAGGACCCCTCCCCTTTACAGCTCGAAACCTCCTTGGTCTGAGGACCAGAACAGAACCCACTGGCGGTGCTGGCGAAGCAGGTGAAGGTGCTATGAACGACCGGATGAGGTCCCTTGCAATAGAACCCCCCAGAATCACGGACGATGTTGAAGGGACTGCTAAGGGCTTTTAGTCCTTGCAAGGATCTTCAAATGAGAAGCTTCCGGGAGGTGCCCTTTGCGCGGATGCTTTCGAGGCAACCTTTTCCGCCCCCCCTTGCTGCTCCGGGCTCACGTGCACAGATCGGCGGCAGATTTGCTTTGCAAAGGCCGGTGCTTGGACAGAAACGTCACACCAGTGGCGGATAGACCATCGAAGACCAGCAGAATACTTGCATTTTTACCAAATGTTAGAGTACTGCACTTGATGACGTGCCATGCGAACAGGAGCCTTGACCGCAGCTGCCTGAGAGGGATCCGCCCGGGTGAAGCGGCACGGGCTCTTGTGGCTCTTACGGCTCTTACGGAGGATTTCGGCAGAGACGGTGCTGCCCACCTGAGCCAGAAGGAGAGATACAAAGGCTCACGGCCCGCCGCTTCGCGGGGCTCACGGCGTGAAAAACGCGTAAACCGGAAACTCCATGTTGTCCAAGGCCTGCCTCTCCCAGCGGCAGCCCACCCCCTGGGGCTTCTTCGTCCGGGGGTGGACGGGCGCTTTGCGCTCGAAGGAACTGCCGTCGGAGATGCGGATTTGGCCTTCGCCCCAGCCAGGTGGCCTCCCATTCTTGAACGTCTCCCTTGGGTAGGCAGCAAGAACGGCAACTGGCAAGCGCCAACTCTAAACTCTACAGACTCCCTCTTGTTGCCACCCAAGGCTCCTGGGAAGGCCGTGCAGTTCGGCGTCTGCATCCGAGAGCTCCGACGAGCCTGCGCCGTACTTCCGCACCCAATCCTGAGCGGGAGCCAAAAACAAGCCTTGCCAATGACAGCACGCCTGGAACCTCCTGGCCTGGTTTAGGGTTTAGGGTTTTGCAGTCCAAGCGTCTGGCCCGTATATGTTCGACACCGCGCAGCAGATCACCTCCCCGCGCTCCTGGTGCCTGCGCACCTCCCGAAGCCAGCGACAGCACCAGCCTTCGGAACGGGCAGCGGGACAGCGCACGGTGCTGCGAAACCTGCTCTCTAGGTGCCGGCTAGAGAACGCTTTTGAATGATGAAGCTTGCCGCCACTCTCCAGCAGGGCTTCGGGACTACTTCGCTCTTTTCTGGGCTCTACAGCTTCATGCAACTTCTCTCTGAGAGAACCTGTCCGAGCAGCAAACGTAGCTCTTGCCAACCTCGGGAACCTGAGAGGTGCACTTGGCGGAACACGTGAAACACGTGCATGCGTGACACTCGCGGGACATGCTAAATTGCTCGGGTGCCCCCCGTCTCCGCCTCTGCTAAAGAAGACACGGCCGCTCTCTGAGGCGGCGGCGAGCGACTGGCTCCGGGAGTCCACCGTGGAGCTCCACTTGCCCTCGCGGCCCTGCTCTGGTGGCACCGGCACCATGTCCCGGCCGCAGTCGTGGCTCGGGTGCGTCCAGCGCCCGTCGTCCGCAGCGTGGCCGAAGACCAACTGTTGGTCAAACCAGACGATGGCAGTGCCTGCGCACACGGCCGGAAAACCGGAACCGGGCTGGGGTGGATCCACACAAGATGGGCCAAACAGCAAGACAACCGGCCCGGTGAGGCAGGCCCCTTCTAGACCTCAGCCCCCAGGAGCAGTTCATATTATCCAGGGAACATATGAGGCTCTTGCTTGAACATCGGTTAAATTAGGGAGATGAGTCTCAATAACATGTAGTATGTATCCGAAGAAGAAGAATGAGAACCCCAGCAAAACTGAAATCCAGCAACATCACAACTAGATGTTGTGTTATCAATGGAACTCCTTTGGAAAGTCACTTTTTGGTGTCTCCTTTAGAAGCATACGATATGGACAGTAGACAAACTCAACAAGATGTTCTATGAGATCACGGGTGCATGCGGATCGCAATTACACTCTCTTGACGTAATGCGAGCTGTTGCGGCAATTGATACCTAGACTGCATCTAAACGCTAGTAAGGAGCGTTCATTAGAGTGGGTTTCTATCGGGAGGTTTGGGGTCGAGGGCTTCTTGGGACACCCGGAGCCGAGGAGCTCCCGTGCTCGGCATCCTTCAGCTTCTCCATCACCTCCTCGTAGGCCTCGCCCCCGGGGACGGAGGCGCCGGCGGCCGGGAAGCGGTCGCGCATGCCAGCGAGGCAGTCGTAGCTGCGGTAGTAGGTAAACACGAGGCCCGTCCCCGCCGCCTCCTTGCAGCGCCGGGCCAGGGCCTCGTCCTCTCGGAGCTCCGCCGCCGCAAAGTTCCGGAGCCAGTCCGCTCGCGTCGCCCGCACCAGTGCCAGCAAGAAGTCGGGGTCGGCCCGGAGCTCTTCGGCCGCATACTCCAGGGTAGGGCCATTGCTCTCCACGGCCTTGAGGATGAAGTCCCGCTCGGCCTTCAGCTCTTTGGCCGCAAACCGCAGGGCATCGCCACGGCTCTCCACGGCCTGGAGGACGACGTCCCGGTCGGCCCGGAGCTCTTCGGCCGCATGCATCAGGGCACGGCCATCGCTCTCCACGGCCTTGAGGACGACGTCCCGGTCGGCCCGGAGCTCTTCGGCCGCAAACCGCAGGGCATCGCCATTGCTCTCCACGGCCTTGAGGAAGATGTCGCGGTCGGCCCGGAGCTCCGCAGGGGCGTCCCGCAGGGCTGCCAAGACTTCGAAGCCGCCGTGGCGGAGGGCCTCGAGGAGCCGCTGCCGAGTCTGCTGTGGCCCGGTGCCTGGCAGAGGGAGGAGTCTTTGCCCTGAGCCCTTCCGAGCTTTTTAAGCTTGAAAGCACCGCACTCAGCGCCAAGCCCACGCCAAGCCCACACGCCTTCCCTCCACGCGACTCTCTTACTTGTTCATTGTCAATTCAACCTTGTGGGTTCTTTTGTGGGTTCTTTTGTGGGTTCTTTTGTGGGTTCTTTTGTAGGTTCTTTTGTGGCTTGGGTTCTCGTGGGTGCTACACGCCACACGGACCCGCCTCCGGTCGCCTCCGCTGCCTGCAGGGGGCGAGCAAAGCACAAGACGAGCAGAACAAGGACGCGCCGAGAGGGGCTCGGTAGTTACAAAGAGCTTCCGAAGACTCGAGATCCTGAACCGCTCCAGCCTAAGCTGAAACCCAACCTCGTTTCCCTGCGCCACCCCTGTCCGAACATCACTTCGCATTATGGGCTTCCCTAAACCCTAAACCCTAAACCCTAAACCCTAAACCCTAAACCCTAAACCCTAAACCCTAAACCCTAAACCCTAAACCCTAAACCCTAAACCCTAAACCCTAAACCCTGTTTGGGCTCGCCTTGTGAGGCTTGCCACACCCGCTGCCCATGGCGCCGAAGCCTCGTGGCCCAGGCTCGCCCAGCCCGATCTGCTTCGAGCCAACTGCCAAACAAAAAAAAAAAGCTTTAGATCCCTGGGTTTAGGGTTTAGGGTTTAGGGTTTAGGGTTTAGGGTTTAGGGTTTAGGGTTTAGGGTTTAGGGTTTAGGGTTTAGGGTTTAGGGTTTAGGGTTTAGGGTTTAGGGTTTAGGGTTTAGGGTCTAGGGTCTAGGGTCTAGGGTCTAGGGTTTGGGGTTTACTGGGTTCCTGTAGAAGATCCCTACACCAGACCCAAAGTTCGGCTTTCGGCTGCTGATTCAGGCTTCAGTTGCACTTGCACGACCTGTGAAGTCCAGGGGAAGGACCTACATGGCTCCATTCTAGGCATCGAACATCGGTTACCCCGCAGCAATTGTTCCTGCTTGGGCGTTGGGGGGGGGGGGGGGGCTCCTGCCCATCTTCCGGCAGGGCTTTCGAGGGCTTCAGGGTTGAAAGGGGCCTCTGAGGACCCCTTTACAGCTCGCAACCTCCTTGGCTCGACCAGACCAGGGGATCTTGGGGACCGCTAAGGTTTTAGGGGGGTTGGGGCTCTAGGGGCCAAATTCAGGTATGACGACTTGCCATTTAGGGTTTAGGGCGCAGGGTTCAAAGGGAATTACTAGGGGATATTGTGCCTTATCACGGCTCATTGCAACTGTTTTTGTTGGCTCGATTTATCCGGGCATCCTTTTGGGGATCTCCCTTCAGATCGTTGCACTAGACGGAAGAGCCCCCTGGCTTCCGCAGGCTTCTTCCGCACATGGGATCTTGTTCTACCGCAAATCCCCAAGCTCATATGAGAAGAGCTCCCTTGCTTTAGACCTCTCTATACGAACGTGACGGGGGGTAGGGGGGGTAGGGGGGATAAGGGACTGGCATGTCCGGCCAAGTTCAGGTATGAAGACTCGCAACTTGTGGGGCTTTAGGTTTGTAGTGCTCCAAAAAAAGGCCTTACGGCGGGATGCTGGGCCCGAACAAGCCTTGTGGCACATCGGCACTTCCAATCTGGGGCCAAATTTCGGGGGATTCTTTTTTGGGATCCAATGACTCGCACCCAGAAGAAGCAGACTACATTAGGGACCGGTAAGGGTTTAGGGTTTTCGGCCGTAAGCTGCAGGAGCATTTCGGGACCGGTAAGGGTTCAGGGTTTAGCTAGGTTGCCCAGTAACCTAGGATTACAAAGGGTGCCCTTTTTTGCTTAAAGGTGTTTATAAGGGAACCTAAACCCCCAAAAAAGGGAATAAGGGCACTACTGGGCATCCTAGCTAATCCGAACATCTGCTTAATTAATACCCCCACATTTAAAGAAATTTTTTTTGGCCGGAAGCCCGCCGGAAGACTACTTTCCATCAGGGTGGATTTCGTATGGGGCAAACCCACCACATTTAAAGGAATTTTTTCGGGGGGGTTGCAAAATTTTGAACCCAGCCCTTCGGAAAGCCTTTTGAATATAGATTCTATACATTCCTATTGTTTTCAATACACTCGTATTGTTTTTAAATAGAGAATCAATACAGGGCCATGGTCCAACTATTGCGGAACCCTGCCTTTCTTATTGTGTGGGGGGGGGCACCCCCCCAATTAAACAGATGCTCGGATTAGGGCTTAGGGTGAAGTGGGTGGCCCTCTGCCATTTTCCGCGACCGGCGGAAGGCCAGCTTCTTCCAATCTCCGGGCCCTTCGCGCGCACCTGGGCAGGGTGTTGTCCCGTGACGTCCCCAAAGGCGCTTATGACAGCCTCCCCAACTTCCTGAAAGTCCTCTCAACCCTGAGATGCAAAAATGGCTCTAGGAACCCTGACCCATTAGAAGCCCAAACCTTGGACCAGTTTTGGGGGGAGGAAGGAGTAGCTGGGTAGTATAGGCTGCCATACTGCCATAACCTGAAGCTTTCACCAAAAGCCTTGCACTTCATGTCAGCCAAGAACCGCTCTCTGGGGCCCATGCCCCGGCAAAGCTCCGCGGACCTCTGTGAAGGCTGCCGCAGACCTGCCAAAAAAAAAAGTCTTGGGGAGTTGTCCACTATTAGGGCCCGCGGCCCACCCCTTCTTTCCCTTCAACTATTTCGTATGAAACCCTACAAAATACCCCCCCCCCCCCCTAAGCCCCCTCACTCGAAACATCCCTCCCGTGCTAAGATCTGGGAAAGCCGAAAGGCCCCTAACTAAGCCCCTGAACAACCCCCCAATCAGCTTGAGGGCTGAGATCTCAGCCCTAAAACCTAAAACCTAAACCCTAAACCCTAAACCCTAAACCCCAAAACCCCAAAACCCCAAAACCCCAAAACCCCAAAACCCTCAACTGGGAGTCCTGGGAGGATCTAGAAAGTAGAGTTCCCGATCTCGTGTACCCTGTGCTGTTTCTGGGCAATCATTGTAGGAACCCTTTCTCAACCTAAGGCCCTAAAGCCCGAAACGCGACACTAAAAGCGACCCTAAAAGCCCTAAATAACTAAACTCCCAAACCTTAAGCCGACCTACTGGGTTCTGGGCACCTTAAATCTGTGGCGAGTACCCTGACTGAGACTCGCCTTGAAACCCAAGCATCAACTCTGGCGTATGTGCTGCGGGCGGCTTCCTCTCCGCCGCCCCCACCCCCCCCCCGCCCCCCCAGTTGGCAACAAGGGACTCCCAAGCATGACGCTGAACGAATGGTCACATTGACCCTTTGCTTCTGTGATCTCGTTTGGAGGGGCTAAGGGCTCAAGAAAGTAAGGAAGATCCCATGGCCGCTTTTACGGCAGGGCGGGTGTACATACGGGGCTCATCTGCCTGCGAGGATGCCGCGGGGAGGCCAAGCACTGCCATTGGTTGCAGAAGAGCCTCAGCGCAGCAGGGACTTCGGCACACTTCATATGAAGCAGGGTTTATCTTACTGTCGTTGGTGAGTGTATATAAGCTTCCTTTTTTTTATCTTGGTGAGTGTACATATTGGGTGTCCTTCTTTGGGGACACAAGCAATATCAACCCTACCTCATACCGCTTCGAGAAGAAGGGGCCTCCAGGAGCCTCTCTTTGTTAGGGGGCGAGGACTGGCATCGGGCTTCTGAGCTTCTTTTGCCTGGGATCCCTCTTGCACCAGGGGGGGTCTAAGAAAAGACATGCGCTTGAGTGGTCAATGGCGATAGATCTGGGGGGTTGTGGGTACCTTAGTCAAGGGTAGAAACGCAACCGCCCTACTTGTGGGCGTGCATGAACCCTAAAACCCTAAACCCCTCAGCCACCCTCAACCACCCTGAACCACCCTAAACCACCCTGAACCACCCTGAACCACCCTGAACCACCAAAAAAAAACCTCAAAACGTCCCTAAAGCCCTTAAGTCCGGCGCAGGGATGCACAACCATGGGGCCCAGACTGGGAGTCGACCTGACGGACCCTTAGTGGGGTTCAGGGTTTCGGATTTAGGGCTGAACTCACTTGAGGCCTGGGGGTTTCAGGCTAGAGGGCTGTGTTCAGCGCCGTCATTTCCGGGACACGGCGAGGGGACCGAGGGTTTCGGGCGCTGGGCTTTTTGGCCCACTTTTGTGGTCCTCTGGATTCCTGGGCAGGGGGATCCTTATTTAGGGCTTTCGGGGCGGGGGGGGGGGGTTTTGAGGGCGAGCCCTGAAGCCCCCAGAAGCCCTCAACTCAGGGACCCCTGGATGAAACTCTACAAAGACCTCCCTAAAAATAGCTCCATGAACCCTGTCGTCAACTTGCGAGCTGTTAGGTCGGAAACGAGGTACCCTTTATGATCCATGAGAGCCTTCTATACAGGGAACAAGGGAACTCGTAAGCTCCGAGGGTCGAAGCCCCAAACTCTAGAAACCCCCAGCGCCCCAGCAACCCTGCGAACCCCGATGAACCCGCGTTGTTGTGACTGAAGCAGGACTTGGGTGCTTAGGGGTTCTGCGGGTTTTGGGGGGTTAGGGCTTCCTTGAAGATTCACGGTAAGTGGGGCGGTGGCATGTCTACCCTTGACCGGGGCACTTGTAACCCCATGTGGAGGCATCCAGAAACCTTCAAATGCTGGTTTCCCGCTCCCGAAGATGCGGAGGTCTCTTCCAAACCCCCTTGGAGATTCATGGTACTTATTAACCCATTCTAACTGCACTTATAACCCACTTATAAGCCCCTTACAGTAAGTGCCCTAATATGGTTTTAAGTACAGTTAGAAGTACAGGTATGAGTACAGCTATATGTACAGTTATAAGTACAGTTATAAGTACAGTTATAAGTACAGTTACAACTGGTTAGTAAGTACCATGAACCTCCAAGTAGCTACCCAAGACAAAGGGGTCACCGTCCCCCCCGCCCCCCCCTTCCCTCCTACCCTCCCCCCTCTTATACAACCCAAGTTTCAACCGCAAAACCCTTGAACAGTTGAAGGGGGTACAAGGCACCCCAAAACTCCTCAAATTCCTTGCTGCAATTTCCTCTGCTAAGACCTTCAGTGCTAAACCCTCACTGGGTCCCAGGCCCTCCGGGCTGCCCCAAAAGGCGGTCTCTCGTCTCCACGAAGATTCCACCCCACCCCCACCCCCGCGGGCGGTCGCCCGGGAGCCGCAAGAAAGGCAGCAGACGGGTTTGAAGGGTTTTAGTTTCTGGCTTTATAGGGTTTAGGCTGGAGGGCTGAGGGTTTGGGGTTTCGGGTGCGTTGGGTTTGGGTTTCAGGGTGTAGGGCTTCAGGGTCCGAAGGCTTTTGGAACCCAAAACCCTAAACCCTAAATCCTAAACCCTAGACCCTAAACCCTAAACCCTAAACCCTAAACCCTAAACCCTAGGGGCTTAGTGGGCTCCGGGCATGGAGGGCTTCTGGGCATTTGCGGGGGCCGCAGGATGGTGTGACGGATCCGAGGGTTTTTTTTATTTTTTTTTTTTTGGGGGGGGGGGGGGGTTGGGGGGTTTTCGGCTTCGGGGGCTTCAGGTTTCGTTGCTTTGATAGGGGGCTCGGGGCGTGGAGGGCGCTTCTCTGGGCTTGAGGGGCATGGGGGGGGAGCCCCCTTTGTACGTGTATAAGGCTCTCCCCTCACAAGAAAGCTTCTAGCCCTTGCGCCGATGCTTTCGAGACACCTTTTTTCTTTCCGTTGCTCCGGGCTCTCGGATGTCGAGGTGCAGATTTGCTTTGCAAAGGCCGACAGACAGAACATCACATCAGTTGCGGGTAGGCCAAGCAAGGTAAAGTACTTGCGTTGTAGCGAGGGCGTGTCGTGCAAAGAGGAGGCTTGACCGCAGCTGCGTGGGGGGATCCGGGGCAGAGACGGCGCCGCCGACCCGAGCAAGAAGGATTCAAAGGTTGGAGGACCACGGCCAACCGCTTCGCGGGGCTCACGGGATGAAAAACGCGTACACCGGGAACTCCATGTTGTCCAAGGCCTGCCGCTCCCAGCGGCAGCCCACCCCCAAGGGCTTCTCCGTTTTGGGGTGCACGGGCGCCTTGCGCTCGAAGGATTTGCCATTGGAGATGCGAATTCGGCCTTCGCCCCAGCCAGGTGGCCTCCCATTCTTGAACGTCTCCCTTGGGTAGGCAGCAAAAACGGCAACTGGGAAGCGCCAACTCTAAACTCTATAGACACCCTTTTGGTTGCCACCATCCAAGGCTCCTGGGAAGGCCGTGCAGTTCGGCGTCTGCATCCGAGAGCTCCGAGGAGCCTGCGCCGTACTTCTGCACCCATTCCTGAGCGGGAGCCAAAAACGCCTTGCCCACCGTGGTGCTTCACAGAAGGACTCGTAGGGACTCGTAGGGACTCGTAGGGACTCGTGACTCATGACTCGTGAAAGGCACCCGTGAAGGGAGCTACTCAGCGCTGGCAGATGCTCAACGTGGCCTGAAACCTCCGAGCCTGCATCCCCCAATTTGATTCGAAGCCTATACTCGGTGGCAGTCCAAGCGTCCTCGGCAAATATGTTCGACACCGCGGCGCAGATCACCTCCCCACGCTCGTGGTGCCTGCGCACCTCCCGAAGCCAGTGACAGCACCAGCCTTCGGAACGGGCAGCGGGACAGCGCACGGTGCGGCGAGAACTGCTCCCTACATGCTGGCGTAAGAACGCTTCTGAGTGTCGAAAGCCCTCGCCACCCTCCAGTCTTGGCAACTACTCAGCTCCTCTTTTCTGGGCTCTGCAGCTTCATGCAAGTTCTCTCTCTGAGAGAATCTCACGCTTCCGTCCGAGCAGCAAACGTAGCTCTTGCCGACCTTGGGAACCTGAGAGCTGAACTTGCGGAACATGCGCTCGCGGAGCGAGTTCTGGGGCGCAAGGGCTGAGGTAGCGGCCAGCGACTGACTCCGGGAGTCCACCGTAGAGTTCCACTTGGCCTCGCGGCCCGCCTCTGGTGGCACCGGCGCCATGTCCCGGCCGCAGTCGTGGCTCGGGTGCGTCCAGCGCCCGTCGTCGGCAGCGTGGCCGAAGACCAGCTGTTGGTCAAACCACACTGTGGCAGTGCCTGGGCACAACGGCCGCTCTGACATGCGCAGGGGGAAGCGGAACCGAAACAAGGTGGCAGAAGCCGCGGGGAAAACGCGAGGCGGAGGTTTGTGCCCTGTTGCACCCCAAGCCCCATCCGGACCTCAGCCCCTCCGAGCAGCTGAACCTCCTGTGAAAAAAGTACAGATCGTGGATCTGTCCTACTCCGACGGAGATGCTTGATGCTTGTTTGGGGGAAAACCAAGTGACGCACCCCCGTTCCTCTCAACAAATTGTTTGTTTCTTGACATGTATGTATTGTGTTTTTCTACCGGTGATACAAAGCACAATTGCCAGTGTCCACATGAAATTGTGTGTGGCTATGCATGGATGCTATAGTTTCGTCATATACTGATATTATACTGATTTTATACTGATATTATACTGGTATGTATGTGTGATTGCTTGCAAGCATGCGGGAAACATCAGACATGAGCTTGAAAATTTAGGATGCTGGTCAGTCAAAATCAGGTATACAACTCGACAAAAAACTCGCCTCATATTCTTTGGGAACCATTAGGACTTTTCTTGAACATCAGCTAAATTTGGGAGCTCAGTCTCAATAAAACACAACACGTATCCAAAGAAGAAGAATGAGGACTCCAGTGAAACTGAAACGCCAGCAAGATCACAATTAGATGTGATGCAAATCAATGGAACTCCTTTGGAAAGTCACTTTTTGGTGTCTCCTGCTGAGGCTTCTGGAAATTAGATAAACTCCACGAAATGTTCCATGAGATCACGGGCGCAAGAAGATCGCAATTGCACTCTTTTGATGTAATGCGAGCTGTTGTGTCAAGGTTGCAGCTTACATGGCGGGTCGGCAAGTGGTTCTTTAGTAGTCTGGTATTTTGTTGCGACCTTCTAGACTGCATCGAAATCCCAAAAAGGCTCAACAAACGTCCTTTGCTTTCAGTAGGGTGGACGTCTAGTTAGAGTCGGGTCTTAGTTTCAATTCTGCTGTCCCAATGATGTCGAGTTCTGTTCGACAAGTTGTACTAGATTCAACTTGAAAACCAAGAGTTCAAACAAGAAACCCACTAGCAGCAAAACAGACATGACCTCAGGCCGTGGAAACGCTCTCCATGTGTCTCGGTTAAGCGGAGGTGCAGCGCCAACAAGCGAAAAGACAAAAACAAAAACGAACCGTGCGAAAACAGAGAGACAGAGAGAGAGAGAGAGAGAGAAAAAAATAGTAATAAAGAAACTAAAACACGCAAAAAACGGACCAGTCGAACAAAGACGCGAAAGAATGACTAACGAGTTTCGTTTGTTGTTGTAGACGTTTTGCGTTGTTTCTTGTTTGTTTTGCGTTGTTGTGCCTCTTTTTGCTTTGCGTTGTTCGCCGTTTCGCGTGGTTCTTGTTTTGAAATGATTTTTCTGGACTGTCTCGCGCGTTTCGACGCCGGCTCCAGCACGGCACGACGCGCGGAAGGTTTCCTGCAGGAACCAAGCCGACACATCCGAGGCTCCAAAATGTTCTGAACTCAGCGAAAAAGACCAAACAAAAAGAAAGCAAAAACAAAGGCTTGAAGGGGGTCCATAGAGGTGAGAGTTAGAGGGGCTGGAGCCTTTGAAAGGGTCAAGAGGTCGTCCTCAAGGGCTTCTTAGCCTTTTAGGGGTTTCTGTGGGGAGGTTTTGGGGTTGAGGGTTTCTTGGGACACCCGGAGCCGAAGGGCTCCCGTGTGATTTCTTCAGCTCCACCATGACCGCCTCGTAGGCCTCGCCCCCGGGGACGGAGGCCCCGGCGGCCAGGAAGCGGTCGCGCATGTCCTGGAAGCAAGCGTAGCTGCGGTAGTAGGTGAAGACGAGGCCCGTCCCGGCCGCCTCCTTGCAGCGCCGGGCCAAGGCCTCGTCTTTTTGGAGCTCCTTAGACGCAAACTGCAGGAGCCAGTCCGCGCGCGTCGCCCGCACCAATGCCAGCAAGAAGTCCCGGTCGGCCGTGAGCTCTTCGGCCGCATACTCCAGGGTAGGGCCATTGCTCTCCACGGCCTTGAGGATGAAGTCCCGCTCGGCCTTCAGCTCTTTGGCCGCAAACCGCAGGGCATCGCCACGGCTCTCCGCGGCCTTCAGGACGACGTCCCGGTCGGCCCAGAGCTCTTCGGCCGCATGCATCAGGGCATCGCCATAGCTCTCCACGGCCTTCAGGACGACGTCCCGGTCGGCCGTGAGCTCTTTGGCCGCATACTTCAGGGCCTCGCCATTGCTCTCCACGGCCTTCAGGACGACGTCCCGGTCGGCCGTGAGCTTTTCGGCGGCCGCATACTGCAGGGCAACGCCCTTGCTCTCCACGGCCTTCAGGACGACGTCCCGGTCGGCCCGGAGCTCTTCGGCCGCATACTGCAGGGCAACACCATTGCTCTCCACGGCCTTCAGGACGAAGTCCCGCTCGGCCTTCAGCTCTTTGGCCGCAAACCGCAGGGCATCGCCACGGCTCTCCACGGCGTGGAGGACGACGTCCCGGTCGGCTTGGAGTTCTTTGGTCGCATGCATCAGGGCACGGCCATCGCTCTCCACGGCCTTGAGGACGACGTCCCGGTCGGCCCAGAGCTCTTCGGCATACCCCAGGGCATTGCCATCCGTCTCCACGGCCTTGAGGACGACGTCCCGGTCGGCCCGGAGCTTTTCGGCCGCATACGCCAGGGCAGGGCCATAGCGCTCCACGGCCTTCAGGACGACGTCCCGGTCGGCCCGGAGCTCTTCGGCCGCATACTGCAGGGCAGCACCATTGCTCTCCACGGCCTTCAAGACGACGTCCCGGTCGGCCTTAAGTTTTTCAGCCGCAAACTCCAGGACAGCGCCACGGCTCTCCACGGCCTTCAGGATGATGTCGCGGTCGGCCCGGAGCTCCGCAGGGACGTTCTCCAGGGCCACCGCGACTTCGTAGCGGTCGCCGTGGCAGAGGGCCTCGAGGAGCCGCTGCCGGGCCTTCGGGGGAAGCGCGAGCGCCACTTTCAGCACTTTTTGTTCGTTCACCTGCTGCCACCTCCCTGAAGGAACTCCCGGCCTCGTGGAGCGGCCCAGCTTCTCCCTCAATCTCCCGGGGCCCGACGCCTCGCGGAGGAGGCCCCCCCACCCCAAAAAACGACAGAGCTTTCTGAGCTTGAAGCACCCGTGCTCTCTACAGTTTGGCACCTGGCTGGTTGCTTTGATTTGGTTGCGCCTTCTAGGCACCAGGGGTGGGGCTGCTCTTCGTGCTGCGCTTCTACTGTGCAGAGAGTTGGTCAAAACCGTCCACGTGGACCACGCCAAGCCCACTCCCTCCGACTCTCAACTCTCCATTGTCAATTCAACCGATCGAATCTCAGCTTGGAAAAGGTGACACAAGCCGGACCTTGTGCCATCGGCTCTTCCATCTGTGGCTACCACCTAACACCCCTCCCCTCTTTCAATCGCTGCCTCCAAACAACTCCTCTTCCTTGCAGGGGCGAGGTGATGCTCATTTTTCGACACACGCCTATATGGCCAAACCCCTCTTGCGGGCCAGCAACCCCTAAGCACCCCTGAGCCCGCAGGGGCCGACCGACCTTGAGGTTTTTGGATTTAGGGTTCCGGGCAAGTTTTGTTTCAACTCTGATCCTTCTTGGGTCACCAACATGGTCTAGCCTTTATCGCGGGAGCTCTTTCTTTGCTCGAAGGCTCTAAGGGGGTGGAAAGTGTCAAGGAACGAAACCTAAAAATGAGAGGAAGACAAAAAGATACGAAAAGGCTACCGCAGAGCCGTTCGACAATCCCAAAACCCCAAAACCCCAAAACCCCAAAACCCCAAAACCCCAAAACCCCAAAACCCCAAAAAAACCCTTGTAAAAGCCCTGAGAGAAAGTCAAAAGAAGATCCCGCAGACCCCTTCGACGCAACCCTGAAGCCACCCCAAACCTTGTGAGAATTAGGGGGAATTAAGGACGGAAGCAGGACTTTGGGAAATCAACTGTGTGGCTTCGTGTTGAGCTTCTGGCATCACTTGCGCTTAGGGGTTCCATTCGGGCCGTGTTCGGGCTCGAGGTGGCTTCGGGCAGTGAGGCACCTCGTCGTGAGGATTGCTGCAGGAGCAGAACATGGCGTCGATGATTCGATGATTTTCCTAACCCTCGCCACGCCCTAGCGGCTTAGAGCCAAGCACAAAGCGTGCATGGGCAGTCCAAAGTTCGGCCTTCACGCGCGCAAGGGGCGCGGCTGAGACCGAACTGATTCCGACTCGCCCGAAATCTTTTGGGCTTTGGGGGGTGCTTCGCAGGAGGGTGCAGCGGACCTTTTTAGACTCCGCATGCCGACACGCAGGAACGTGGCAGGTGCCTGCTCCGTCGACATCTTTGCCTTACGCCAATCAACAGGGTCTAGGATGAGTTGTTTGGCTTCAAGAGGAGCGCCGAATCACCGCTCATTTCCGACTGAGCATGGCCCCTGGCCTTATTATATAAGCAGAAGGTACGAAGTAGAATTGTAAGTGCCCTAGTTGGGGCTACGCTACTCAATCATGCCACAAAGTAACCATTTCCTAAAATCCCCCCATCCTCCAAGGAGTGGCTTCATGAAGCTGTCTACGCTCGCATCAAGGGCTGCGCTTTTGGACTTGCATGCAAGACGTGTTGCCGGCCCATCCAAAGAATGCAGCCGACAAGCGCAGACTCAAACCTATAGGCCCGGGGCGCCGCACTCATGTAGGCAGCTCTTCATCGTCCACCCGGTGGAGGCGCAAGGCCTTGGTGGCTTGAGGTGGTCTGAGCCTGTGACCCTTCAGTCGATGAACGTTGCACCCATGGACTAACACTTAGGGTCTGAATACCCTAGCCCAAAAAGGTTGCCCAGTTATATGTATGTATATATATATATATATCAGGATTCTATACAACCAAAAAGGCTAAAAGTTACCTACCCAGTCCCGAGGAAAAAAAGGGGGGTCTTGGGCCTTGGGGCTTATGCTATGGTTTAAATTTACCTACTGTGGTACCTGCAGGTTGAGGAGAACCTGTGTGGGACACAGCCGTTGCCCACCAAAGCCCTAAACAATTAACCTCCAAACCCCCAACCCTAAGTCCTAGATCCCTCTCGACCCTAAACTCCACGCTCAAGCCCTTGCCCCCACATATGACCATGTGCTTTTGGGCGTGCACAGGGGCTCATTTGCCTGAGGAGGCCACAGGCAAAGCACTGCCATTTGCAGAGCCTCAGAGCGTGGCATACGGCACTTACTTGATCGGGAGACTTATGTACCTATTCACACTCAAGAGGGGTTCGAAGTACCCTGACGGAAACTAAGGTCATAGTCCCACCTACTTCAGAGAACTGCCTACGAAGTTCCCTGAACCTCCAGGACGTGCGCGGCCTTCGGGTTTTTGAGCTTTTTTGTGTGCGTGGGCTTCTTGCAAAGGGGGCTTGGGAATGTCTGCTATGACCCAGCACAAAAGCATTCTCTTCCGTCTCGACGAAGAACTACTGGCGTCTAGAGGGCGTGTAGAGGGCGCTTAAAGGGTTTGGGTGCTTTCAAAAGCGCCTTTAGGCTCAGGGCTTGTGGGCTTCAGGGTTCAGGGTTTGCCTTGAGACCCCCAGCTGCCCAAAACAAGAGGTCACCGTACCCCCCCTCCCGCTTGAATCCGGAAGTGTAGTCTTTCAACCTCAGCTTCATCCCCCCAAACCCCTAAACCCCTTGACAAGGTAGAACGCACCCCAAGATCCTCAAATGAGGGGGCCCGAAAGGCACCTGAAATTCCTCGACATTCCCTACTGTAATTCTCTACTAGCATACAAGTGCTTTGGCAAACCCCTCAGTGGGTCCCGGGCCCTCGGGACGAAGGATTCCCCCCCCGCCACCCCCCGCGCGGGCCGCCCGGGAGCCGCAGGAGAAAGGCGTTCCGGGTCCGAAGAATTTGAGGGTGTTGAGGGTGCTTTGGGGTTAGGGTGCAGGGTTTGAGGTTTATAAGGCTTAGGGCTCCAAAGGTTTTGGGGAGGCTTTCGGGGATCTAGGGGCTTCGGGGGCTTACCCCGAGCCCGCTTTAGAGGGCTGAAGGCTGAAGGCGGCCTCGAGGGGCATGGGAGGGCGATTCTGGGCATTTTTGTTGCGGGAACCGCGACCCGGGTCCGGAGGGTTTTGGGGAAGGCTTTTGGGGGGCTTGGGGTTTCAGGGCTGAAGGCTTAGAGGGCTCAGGGGCATGGAGGGCTGCTTCTCTGGGCTTTTGGGGCTTTTGGGGGGAGCCTGTTTTTTGTACTTGTGCAAGGCTCTCTCCAAAATGAGAAGCTTTCCTCAGGTGCCCTTTGCGCCGGTGCTTTCGAGGCAGCCTTTTCCGCCCCCCCTTGCTGCTCCGGGCTCACGATGTGCTCTCAGATGCCGAGATGTGCAGATTGGCGGCAGATTTGCTTTGCAAAGGCCGGTGCTTGGACAGAAGCGTCACATCAGCTGCGGATAGACTGTCGAAGACCAGCAGAATACTTGTACTGTACCAATGGTCCAATGGTACAGTATTGTACTTGATGACGTGCCATGCGAAGAGGAGCCTTGACCGCAGCTGCCTGAGAGGGATCCGCCCGGGTGAAGCGGCGGCTCTTGTGGCTCTTACGGCTCTTGAAGCTCTTGCGGCTCTTACGGCCCTCTTGTCCAGCCTGTGGGTTGATAAGAGAGGAGGATTTCGGCGGAGACAGTGCTGCCCACCCGAGCAAGCAGGGCTGATTCAAAGGCTGGAGGACCGCGGCCGCCGCTTCGCGGGGCTCACGGCATGAAAAACGCGTACACCGGAAACTCCATGTTGTCCAAGGCCTGCCGCTCCCAGCGGCAGCCCACCCCCAAGGGCTTCTTCGTCCGGGGGTGCACGGGCGCCTTGCGCTCGAAGGATTTGCCGTTGGAGATGCGGATTTGGCCTTCGCCCCAGCCAGGCGGCCTCCCATTCTTGAACGTCTCCCTTGGGCAGCAAAAACGGCAACTGACAAGCGCCAACTCTAAACTCTATAGACACCCTTTTGGTTGCCATCCAAGGCTCTTGGGAAGGCCGTGCAGTTCGGCGTCTGCATCCGAGAGCTCCGAGGAGCCTGCGCCATAGTCCCGCACCCACGCCTGAGCTGGAGCCCAAAAACGCCTTGCTAATGACAGCGCGCCTGGATGCTTCTGGCCTGCGGATAGGGTTTAGGGGTTTAACGTTTAGGGGTTCAGGGGTTCAGGGGTTCAGGGTTTAGGGCCATCCCCAGTTTGATTGGCAGCAATTGGCAGCCCTTATTGCAGTCCAAGCGTCCTCGTCATATATATTCGACACTGCGCAGCAGATCACCTCCCCTCGCTCGTGGTGCCTGCGCACTTCACGCAGCCAGTGGCAGCACCAGCCTTCGGAACGGGCAGCGGGACAGCGCACGGTGCTGCGAGAACTGCTCAATAGATGCTGGCTCAAGAACGCTTTGGAATGCCAAAAGCCCTCGCCACTCTCCGGCGGCTCTTGGCAACTACTCCTTCTGTTCTGGGCTCTGCAGCTTCATGCAACTTCTCTCTGCGAGAGTCTCACGCTTCTATCCGAGCAGCATACGTAGCTCTTGCCAACCTCGGGAGCCTGAGAGGTGCACGTGCAAAACACGTGAACACGTGCAGACGTGACACTCGCACGACATGCTAAATTGCTCGGGTCTATGCCTCTGCTAAAGACACGGCTGCTCTCTGAGGCGGCGGCGAGCGACTGGCTCCGGGAGTCCACTGTGGAGCTCCACTTGGCCTCGCGGCCCTGCTCCGGTGGCACCGGCACCATGTCCCGGCCGCAGTCGTGGCTCGGGTGCGTCCAGCGCCCGTCGTCGGCAGCGTGGCCGAAGACCAGCTGTTGGTCAAACCAGACGGTGGCAGTGCCTGGGCACAACGGCCGCTCTGACACGCGCAGCGGGGGGAAGCGGAACCGGCACAAGATGGGAGAAACTGTGGGAAAACCCGAGGCGGAGGCTTGGGCCCTGTTGGGCCCCAGGCCCCCCTTCCACACTTCAACCCCTCCGAGCAGCTGAACCTCCTGTGAAAAAAGTACAGATCGTGGATCTGTGGGAGTGCCTCCAATTTTGCTATTTTACGCCGACGGAGACGCTTGTTTGGGGGAAAACCAAGTGACGCAACCCCGTTCCTCTCAACAAATTGTTTGTTTCTTGACATGTATGTACCGTATTTTTCTACCGGTGATGCAACGCACAATTGCCAGTGTCCACATGACATTGTGTGTGGCTATGCATGGATGCTATAGTTTCATCATATACTGATATTATACTGATTTTATACTGATTGTATACTGATTGTATACTGATTTTATACTGATTTTATACTGATTTTATACTGGTAAATATGTGTGATTGCTTGCAAGCATGCGGGAAACACCAGATATGAGCTTGAAAATTTAGGATGCTGGCCAGTCAAGATCAGGTATACAACTCGACAAAAAGTTCTCCTCATATTATTATTTGGGAACCATTAGGACTTTTCTTGAACATCGGCTAAATTTGGGAGCCCAGTCTCAATAAAACGCAATACGTATCCGAAGAAGAAGAACAAGGACTCCAGTGAAACTAGCAAGATCACAATTAGATGTGATGCAAATTAATAACTCGTTTGGAAGGTCACTTTTTGGTGTCTCCTGTTAAAGCTTCGGGAAATTAAATAATCTCCACAAAATGTTCTATGAGATCACGGGCGCAAGAAGATTGCAATTGCACTCTTTTGATGTAATGCGAGCTGTTGCGTCAAGGTTGAAGCTTACATGGCGGGACGGCAAGTGGTTCTTTAGTAGTCTGGTATTTTGTCACGATCTTCTAGACTGCATCGAAATCCCAAAAAGGCTCAACAAACGTCCTTTGCTTTCAGTAGGGTGGACTTCTGATTAGAGTCGGGTCTTAGTTTCAATTGAACTGCTGTCCCAATGATTTCGAGTACTCTTCGACAAGTTGTACTAGATTCAACGTGAGTACGAGAAAACCAAGGGTGAGAACAATAAACCCAATAGCAGAAAAAAAGACATGACCTCAGGCCGTGGAAATGCTCCATGTGTCTCGATTAAGCGGAGGTGCAGCGCGAAAAAACGACACAAAAAACACGAAACGTGCGAATACAGAGAGAGAGAGAGAAACAAAAAATAAAGAAACTAAAACACGCAAAAAGCTGCCTAGTCGAACAAAGACGCGACAGAATGACTGACGAATTGCTTTTGTTCTTGTAGACGTGTTGCGTTCTTTCTTGCTTGTTTTGCGTTGTTATGTCTTTTTGTCTTGCGTTGTTCCTGTTTTTGACATGTTTTTGTTCTGGACATTCTCGCGCGTTTCGACGCCGGCTCCGGCACGGCACGGCGCGCGGAAGGTTTCCTGCAGGAACCAAACCGACACATCCGAAGCTCCAAAATGTCCTGAACTCGTCGAACAAGACGAAAAGAGAAACAAAAACAAAGGCTTCAAGGGGGTTCATAGAGGCTTATGAGGTTTAGAGTCAATTTAGAGGGGTTTAAGGTTTTGAAGGGTCAAGAGGGGGTCTTCAAGGGCTTCTTAGCCTTTGAAGGGTTTCTATGGGGAGGTCTGGGGTCGAGAATTTCTTGGCACACCCGGAGCCGAGGAGCTCCCGTGCGCGGCCCTCCGCAGCTGCTCCATCACCGCCTCGTAGGCTTCGCCCCCGGGGACGGAGGCACCGGCGGCCGGGAAGACGTCGCGCATTTCACCGGAGCAGTCATAGCTGCGGTAGTAGGTGAAGACGAGGCCCGTCCCGGCCGCCTCTTTGCAGCGCCGGGCCAGGGCCTCGTCCTCTCGGAGCTCCTCAGACGCAAAATGCAGGAGCCAGTCCGAACGCGTCGCCCTCACTGCTGCAAGCAGGAAGTCGCGGTCGGCTTTGAGTTCGTTGGCCGCATGCTCCAGGGCAGGGCCAAAGCTCTCCACGGCCTTGAGGATGAAGTCCCGGTCGGCCTTAAGCTCGTCGGCCGCATGCTCCAAGGCAAGGCCAAAGCACTCCACAGCCTTGAGGACCAGGTCGCGGTCGGCCTGGAGCTCCGCCGGGGCGGCCCTCAGGGCTCCCCAGACTTCGAAGCCGTCGCCGCGGCGGATGTACTCGAGGAGCCGCTGACGGCCCTTCGAGGCGCGAGCGCCACTACTCTTCAGCACCGTTAATTCACCCTCGGCCTCCCTGAAGGAACGCCCGGCCTCGTCGGCCGGCTCAGCTTCTCCCTCGATCTCTTGTGGCCCTATGCCTCGCAGAGGAGGCCCCCCGCACAAAACAAAAGAAAGAGAGAGAGAGGGAGAGAGAGCGAGAGAGAGGCGAGCAGTTAACGCTTAAGTTGCAAAGAGACGCGCAGCACCTACGCCTAAGAGAGCGAAGAAAGCCTGGAGTTTCCACCTCTGTCCTGCGCCCCGTGATTCAGAGGTCCCACATGAGCACCCCCAGACCGTACTGTATGCCCTGAGCCCTTTCCGAACTTTTTGAGCTTGAAGCACCGTGCTCTCTACAGTTTGGCCCCTGGCGGTTTGTGTTTGCTGGTTGCGCCTTCTGGGCACCAGGGCTGGGGCTGCTCTTCGTGCCGAGCTTCTACTGTGCAGAGAGTTGGTCAAAACTGTCCACGTGGACCTTCTCGGCGTCAAGCCCATGCCAAGCCCACTCCCCTCCGACTCTCAACTCTGAACTCCCACCATCACCACCACCACCACCACCACCACCACCACCACCATCACCACCACCACCACCACCACCACCATCACCACCACCACCCCACCACCACCACCATCACCACCACCACCACCACCACCACCACCATCACCACCACCACCACCACCACCACCACCACCCCGCACACCACCACCCCCCCACCACCCCACGCACCACCACCACCTCACCACCACCACCAACCACCACACCACCCCACCCCACCACCCACCTACCCCACCACCATCACCACCACCACCACCACCACCACCACCATCACCCACCACCACCACCACCACCACCATCACCACTCACCACCACCACCACCACCACCACCACCACCACCACCACCATCACCACCACCACCACCCCCACCACCATCAACCCACCACCACCACCACCACCCCCACCATCACCAAACCACCCCTACCGACCATCCACCACCACCACCACCACCACCTCACGCACCACCCACCACCACCACCACCACCATCACCCACCACCACCACCATTCCACCCCCCCACCACCCCCCACACATCACCACCACCACCACCACCACCCAAACCACCACCACCTACCACCACCACCCCCACCACCACCACCACCACCACGTCACCACCACCACCACCACCACCACCACCCTCAATCACCACACACCACCACCCCACCACTCACCACCACCACCACCACCACCACCACCACCCCCCCATCACCCCACCACCACCACCACCACCACCACCACCACCACCATCCACCACCACCATCACACCACCACCATCCCCACCACCACCACCACCACCACCACCACCACCACCACCATCAACCACCACCATCATCACCACCACCCACCACCACCCACCACCAACACCATCACCACCACCACCACCACCACACCATCACCACCACCACACACCACCACCACCACCACCACCACCACCTCACCACCACCACACCACCACCAACACCATCACCACCACCACCACCACCACCACCACCACCATCACCACCACCACCACCATCACCACCACCACCACCACCACCACCACCACCACCACCACACCATCCAACCACACCACCACCACCACCACACCACCACCACCACCACCAGCACCCCCACCACCACACCACCACCACCACCACCACCACCACCACCATCACCACCACCACCACCACCACCACATCACCACCCACCACCACCACCCCACCACCACCACCACCACCACCCCACACACCACGCATCACCACCATACCCAACCACCACCACCACCACCACCACCACCACCACCACCATCACCATCACCACCACCACCACCACCACCACCACCATCACCACCACCACCACCACCACCATCACCACCACCATCATCACCAGAAGGCAAAGCCTATCACAAGGCTCAGCTATCAACATGTATGCTGTCTCATGCTAAGTGTGAGTTCAGCTATCAACATGTATCTTATCCCAAATGCGAGCTCAGCTATCAACATGTGTGCTGTGCTAAAGAAATTTTTGCTCAGGTGAGGTGCGTTAAACCCCGCCCAGGTACCAAGGCCTGGGGAGCTGTAAATAGTACCATAACACCATGGATTCGAGCCATGATGAACCAAAAGAAGGCCTTGACAGGCGTGCTGCACATGTGAGAGATGCGAGTGGCATACCTTTCAACTCAGCACCTGCGGCCAATGAGCAGGGAGGAGGACTACAAGGTCTTCCAAGTTTCTCTGCCGCTTTGGGACTTGAATCCCAAGATGTCAAGAGAAAGAATGATGATGATGATGCTGACCCTAGCAAGCGACACAAGAAGGATGAAGAGCAAACAATGATGGCTGCAATGCTGCAGCAGATGAAGGACATGAAAACTACTCAGTCACAAACATTGGATGCGCTCATGTGCATGATGCACACCATGCAAAGCCTTGCACACACTCAGAACAATACCAGCAAGGAACAAGCTCAAACGGCAAATGTTCCAACAGCCGATGTACAAGCAGCGGCAGCAGCTCAAAGCCTACCAAGCTTGCCAGTCCAGGATGCTATTATTCACGCGGTAGCTCGAGTAGCAAGTGAAGTGCCCTTGAAGAAGACTGCTCGAGTGCCGGATGAAGTCAAAAGCATCATCACCAAAACCATGAGGAAGGCTGGCGAAAGAATCAAAAAGAACTTGAAGGCGCAGAAAAGGCTGGACACTGCTCGGAAGGACCTGGTTGTCATGGAGACTGCTGGGCGCTATCCTGCAGGCACTCGACCCTTTAAGTGCCCTTCGGAGTTGGTAGAGCTGGACGAGGTCTTGAAGGATTCAACGCGGAACAAGTATGTCTTCCAAGTCGAGATCCCACAAGGAACTTCGAGAAGGGAGGCATTGGCAACCTTGCACCACGAGTTCACAAGAGCATCGAAGAAAATCAACCTTGAAGCAATGGAGGAGAAGGTCGCAAAGGAGAAGGAAAGAAATAAGCGTGACAGGATTATGGAGGAGTGTGCAGCTGCAATCAAGAAGGCGACTGAGATTGACAAGCTGGACCTGGACGACCCCGAGAATGTTGCGAACCTCGACGAAGCCGTCAAAGAAGTTCAGGACAAGGAGTATGGCAAAATGGTCGAGGAAGTTAGGAAGGATGAACAGAAAGTGAAGGAGCAAGAGGAGAAAAGGAAAATTGCGCACGACAAGGCCATGAACGAGCTCAAAGACAACAATCCAACCACTCTGATGCGTGATGTTGTACACCAGATGGTCAGCGAAAAGGTCAAAGAGTTCTCGAAAGAAGCTGAGGCTCAGGAGGACGAAATGATGTCTGATGGAGAGGATGCCAAGGAGGATGAAGAAATGGAGCAGGACAAAATGAAGAAAGTGTGCCAAGCGATGCGAAAAAATGGGGAGGCTCCTTGCAGTGGAGGCAAGGGGACGTGGAACAAAACCTCCACAAAAGCCACGAACAAAGGCAAGCCCGTGGATGGAAAGAGAGGCACGGCAAACTACACACCTTGGCATCAACAGCATCAGCACCATCAGTGTCAACATCAGCAAAATTGGAAGTGGCGACAGCAGCAGCAGAAGCAGCAGCTGATGTCGAAAGGAGCTGGGAAAGGAAGCAGGTACACCCAGCAGTGGTCCCAAGCAAAAGGCTACGGAAAAAATGGCTTCGAAGGGAAGAATGGAGGAAAGAAAGGATGGTACAAAGGCAACAGCAACAAAAGTCGAAAAGGTTTTTGGAATTGATGAGGGGCGCATCTGCGCAGGATTGGTGGTGGCTCAAGAACTACCACCTCTTGGAGGAGAAGGTGGCCGTTTACGATCCAAACAGTTGCGAAATCCATCCGGTTGCAGCCTATGGGGTTCCATGGCCGATTGTGTGGGTTCTTTCAAGATACAACAAGAAGCACATTTGGGCTTCTGGAAAGATGCCATCAGTCCAGAAAGTTGAGCAGGAAATCAGACAATTCAATGACCGCGTGAAATGGAGATGGTTTTTCAGACACTCGCAGTCATCCAAGCCGGAAATCACCTTCAAAAGCCATACTCGATGCAGAGAAGTGGTCGATGGGGGTTTACAGTGCTGGTTGGATAGACTACAAAGGTGCTTGGTGGAAGATGCGAAGAGAGCTATCAAACATGCAAAATGGACCAAAAGGAAGTGGTCGAACGTCACGCCCTTGATTCGTTGGGGGCTCAAGCTGTTGAGGAGTTCTGACTGGAAAACGTTGCCGACCGATAAAACAGGTGCATTTGTTCTTGTCCTACGACATCAAGAAGCCGAGATTCACCAGAAGATTTTTCAGAAATCCATGTACATGCAAGTGGCGGATGAAAGAAGGTTGATGGACCTGTGGTACAAAAGTTACTTCCGGGCAGTCAACAAAGTGCAGAAGCTTGAGGAGGATGAGGCCCTTGCTTCGCAGTTGAGGAAGACACCAACCCTTCCTGGTGCGAAGCTGCCTTCGAAGTTATCTGTCACAGTAAAATCCACAAAGCCACAGGGTGAAGTCTCAGTTCGGAATCTTCATTTGTCAGGAGGCTATGCGTTCAAAGGGTTGGGCGTGTGGCTACAGAAGCAGTTGATGAACAAATTGTGTGAATTGCATCACCTTGCCCAGTCAGCTCATCAGGTCTCAATGCGTGTCAAGAACTTGGGGGTTAGGCTTGACACCAACCACAGACTAGTGCGCATCGACATCAGAGAGTTCTTCATTTGCGGTCAACTGCGTGAACTAGCTGATGAGGCCTTGAAAGCGTTTGAAAGCGATCATGAAGCCAAGAAATTAGTCATGGAAGAGGTCATGAACTTGCTGTTGGGGTCGCAGTTCGTGTCAAGCGAAGCTGCAGATGCAACGTACCAAGTGATAGAGGGTAGTGGCATGGGACTACCCCAAAGCGCTGGAATCGCAGACTCCGCATTCTATCACAAGGCAGAGAGAGGCCTTGTGGATGAGCAGTCCCTGCGCGAAACGGGTATCGACCTGCTAATCCGATACAGGGATGACATTCTCATCTTGTCTCATGACTACGGGAAGTTTGTGGCATGGTTCCAGGTGCTCAAAGCCAGAAGTGGGTTCTTCCGTGTACAATGTGAGGAGATTGTCAGGTTTTGCGAGTGCGAAGATAGGGAGGTCCAGTTCCTACAGTTTCGCGTGCAAATGAATGCAAGATCCAGGAAGTTGAGGCTCATTCCCCACTGCAAGAACATAGCAATGCCCTTGGAAAGCTCTTCTGCCCATGCCCCTGCAGTACACAACTGGCCAAAGCAGCACGTGAATGCGATGTGCAAGTTGGCCACAGATGATGCTGCAAGGAGGACTGCGAAGCAGTGTATCATGGCGAGATTCCGGAAACACCTTACCCCGGAAGAAGTGCTAGCTGAGATGATGGAAGCTGGCACTCCGAGAAATTTTACCACGAAAGAGGTCCGTAGCTCAAACGTGTTGTGGATAACTCTTTCGTGGCATCCCATATGGAAATTTGCAAGGTTTGGCAAAACAATCCGGAAATTTTGCGAACATGATGTTCGATATCTGCTAGACCAAGCGTTTTGCCGAGTTTTTGATGTCAGAGTTTCCTGGAAGAATGGATTGATGTACAGCTCAGCTCTGGTGTCAAGACTCTAGTTATGAGCATGGAGATGGTTGGGGAAGGTGGGTGGAAACACCATCATCACCAGAAGGCAAAGCCTATCACAAGGCTCAGCTATCAACATGTATGCTGTCTCATGCTAAGTGTGAGTTCAGCTATCAACATGTATCTTATCCCAAATGCGAGCTCAGCTATCAACATGTGTGCTGTGCTAAAGAAATTTTTGCTCAGGTGAGGTGCGTTAAACCCCGCCCAGGTACCAAGGCCTGGGGAGCTGTAAATAGTACCATAACACCATGGATTCGAGCCATGATGAACCAAAAGAAGGCCTTGACAGGCGTGCTGCACATGTGAGAGATGCGAGAGAGAGGCGAGCAGTTAACGCTTAAGTTGCAAAGAGACGCGCAGCACCTACGCCTAAGAGAGCGAAGAAAGCCTGGAGTTTCCACCTCTGTCCTGCGCCCCGTGATTCAGAGGTCCCACATGAGCACCCCCAGACCGTACTGTATGCCCTGAGCCCTTTCCGAACTTTTTGAGCTTGAAGCACCGTGCTCTCTACAGTTTGGCCCCTGGCGGTTTGTGTTTGCTGGTTGCGCCTTCTGGGCACCAGGGCTGGGGCTGCTCTTCGTGCCGAGCTTCTACTGTGCAGAGAGTTGGTCAAAACTGTCCACGTGGACCTTCTCGGCGTCAAGCCCATGCCAAGCCCACTCCCCTCCGACTCTCAACTCTGAACTCCCGAATTGTCAATTCAACTCTCTGTTACCTTGTAGACCGTCTTAGCCTATCGAATCTCAGCTTGGAAAAGGTGACACAAAAGGTGGACCTGTGGCTACCACCTAACACCCCTCCCCCCTTTCAATCGCTGCCTCCAGTCCATTCCTCTTCCTTGCAGGTGATGCTCATTTTTCGACACACACCTATATGGCAAACCCCTTTTGCGGGCCTGTAAACCCTACAAACACCCTGAGCCCCCAAGGGCCGACCCGACCTTGAGGTGTTTGGATTTATGGCCTAGCCTTTATCGTAGGAGCTCTTGTTTTGCTCTAAGGCTCGGGGTGACAAGTGTCAAGGAACGAAACCTAAAAATGGGAGGAAGACAAAAAGATAAGAAAAGGCTACCACTGAGCCGTTCGACAATCCCAAAACCCCAAAACCCCAGAGAAAGTCAAAAGAAGATCCCGCGGTGGACCCCCACAGACCCCTTCGACGCAACCCTGAAGCCACCCCAAACCTTGCGAGAATTAGCGGGAAGTTAGGGCGGAAGCGGGACTTTGGGAAATCAACATATATTTTACGAAGTGTTAATATTAATATTGTGTCCAGTAAAGGCAATAATAATAATAAAATGAGTGGCTTTCGTGAAGATAAAATGAATACTAAAGGAATGGGGAAAAATGACAGAAAATAGGATGGCTTTCTTGTTGCGTCCTTATGTTGACAATTGAATACGTGAACTTGAGAGCCGCCCCAACAAAACACCCAAAAGTTAGGAAAGGAAAGAGTGAGCGGGGCGACAATAATATTTTATAAGCTACAAAAAACCCCATTAAAAGCTATGGAAATATTAATATTAATACTAATAGAATTACAGTACGTTTACTTTATTCACTTTATATTGGCATTATATTGTAGCATTAAAGGGTGAATATATTGAGTGTAGAGAATTAATTAATACTTCCCGGGTGTTACGTATTAATATTAATAATGTAATTAGTGCAGAGAATACGAACTAAAAGAGAGATAAAAACTAAAGAATTGTATGAACGAATTGAATATGCGAGAATACGAAATTCTTTAATCTGCAAACGAATAAAAAGAGAAGATAAATAGAATGACCACAAAGTGAAGAAAATAATATATTGTGATGAAATTTCTAAATTAATAAAAGCATTTCCTAAAGATATAGCAGCATTAGATAAAAGAAGTGTATTAGCAAAAGTTAATTCACAAGGACCTGGAAGATAGAAAGCTTCTCCAGGCCGCATCCCTAAAGTTGGACAAGATAATAAATGAAAAGATGCCCAAAAGAAGGAAGGATACAAATAATAGAGCTTCAGAAACTAGAAAACCCCCAAAAAGAAGAAAAAAGATTATTAATAAGACTTCATATTTTTCGTGAATTCTCTTAATGAATCTCTAGACCAAATATGAAAACTATAAATTAATCCAAATAAAAGATGATAAAATATAAGAAAATAATTCTATGAGAAGTGAATTCCAGTCCAACAATAAATATTAAATCCTGCAAAGAAAAATAGAATTATAATAAGAGCAAAGAATAATAACCAAGAACTACTAATAAGGAAACAAAATGAATCTGATGTAACTTCTAAATGTTTAGATTTCCAAAATATCAAATAATGCGTACAAAAGGGCCTCATAAAATATTACTATTTTTCTAGCCCTTACAATTACTATTAAATGCTTGGAAATTAGTGCATCAATGGCCCAACAAATGCCCGGGTGTTCGCGTATTCGTTCAGTCGTCTCTCTTTCTATTAATCTTTGAAATGTATTTTATGAACGAATACACGAAGTCAATTGTAATAAAGTGTACGCCCAAAAACCCCCTTTAATTTTATTGGGTTTTTGGTGTACTAATTAATGATACTATTATCGCGCCCTTAATAATAATAAAAAGCAAATAAAATGAAACGAGGGCGCGTGTATTTCGTTCACATTAATAATATTATTCGTGCGCGCAAGACGCTTACAATAATATTATTACTGTTCTCTTCATAGTTAAAGAAGCTTCTATCCCAAGACTGAGGATGAAAGGGTGAATTGTAAACCAAACCAATAGATGACAGGTGTTCACAGGATGTGGGGCTTCGTGTTGAGCTTCTGGCATCACTTGCGCTTAAGGTTCCATTCGGGCCGTGTTAGGGCTCGAGCTGGCTTTGGGGCAGTGAGGCACCTCATCGTGAGGATTGCTGCAGGAGCAGAACATGGCGTCGATGATTTTCCCAGTCCTTGCCAGCGCTAGCGGCTTAGAGCCAAGGGCAAAGCGTGCATGAACGCAAGGAGCATGCGAGGCTGAGACCGAGCTGATTCCGACTCGCCCGAAATGTTTTGGGCTTGATGCACGCGGACCTTTTTGACTCTGCATGCCGACGCGCAGGATTGAACGTGGCAGGTCGACATCTTTGCCTTACGCCAATCAACAGGGTCTAGGATTCAGAGTTGTTTGGCTTCAAGAGGAGTGCCGAATCACCGCTCATTTCCGACCGAGCATGAATTTCGGCCTTATGTAAGCAGAAGGTGCGAAGTAGAATTGTAAGTGCCCTGATTGGAACTACGCTACTCAATCATGCCACAAAGCAACCATTCCCTAACTTCCCTTCATCCTCCAAGGAGTGGCTTCATGAAGCTGTCTACGCTCGCATCAAGGGCTGCGCTTTTGGACTTGCATTAGCAAGACGTGTTGCCGGCCCATCCAAAGAGTGCAGCCGACAAGTGCAGCCTCACACCTATAGGCGCCGGGGCGCCGCGCTCATGTAGGCAGCTCTTCATCGTGCACCCGGAGGCGCAAGTCCTTGGTGGCTTGAGGTGCTCCGAGCCTGCGACCCTTCAGCGCGACGACCGTTGCACCCATGGACTAAAAAACTTAGGGGCTGAACCCAGAATATATCGCAGGATTCTAGATAACAAAAAAGGGGCTACCTACCCAGTCCCGAGGAAAAAAAGGGGGGTCTTGGGCCTTGGGGCTTATGCTATGGTTTAAATTTACCTACTGTGGTACCTGCAGGTTGAGGAGAACCTGTGTGGGACACAGCCGTTGCCCACCAAAGCCCTAAACAATTAACCTCCAAACCCCCAACCCTAAGTCCTAGATCCCTCTCGACCCTAAACTCCACGCTCAAGCCCTTGCCCCCACATATGACCATGTGCTTTTGGGCGTGCACAGGGGCTCATTTGCCTGAGGATGCCACAGGCAAAGCACTGCCATTTGCAGAGCCTCAGAGCGTGGCATACGGCACTTGGTTGATCGGGAGACTTATGTACCTATTCACAATCAAGAGGGGTTCGAAGTACCCTGACGGAAACTAAGGTCATAGTCCCACCTACTTCAGAGAACTGCCTACGAAGTCCCCTGAACCTCCAGGACGTGCGCGGCCTTCGGGTTTCTGAGCTTTTTTGTGTGCGTGGGCTTCTTGCAAAGGGGGCTTGGGAATTTCTGCTATGACCCAGCACAAAAGCATTTTCTTCCGTCTCGACGAAGAACTACTGGCGTCTAGAGGGCGTGTAGAGGGCGCTTAAAGGGTTTGGGTGCTTTCAAAAGCGCCTTTAGGCTCAGGGCTTGTGGGCTTCAGGGTTCAGGGTTTGCCTTGAGACCCCCAGCTGCCCAAAACAAGAGGTCACCGTACCCCCCCCCCTCCCGCTGGAATCCAGAAGTGTAGTCTTTCAACCTCAGCTTCATCCCCCAAACCCCTAAACCCCTTGACAAGGTAAAAAAAGGGATCCCAAATTCCTCAAATGAGGGGGCCCGAAAGGCACCTGAAATTCCTCGACATTCCCTACTGTAATTCTCTACTAGCATACAAGTGCTTTGGCAAACCCCTCAGTGGGTCCCGGGCCCTCGGGACGAAGGATTCCCCCCCCGCCACCCCCCGCGCGGGCCGCCCGGGAGCCGCAGGAGAAAGGCGTTCCGGGTCCGAAGAATTTGAGGGTGTTGAGGGTGCTTTGGGGTTAGGGTGCAGGGTTTGAGGTTTATAAGGCTTAGGGCTCCAAAGGTTTTGGGGAGGCTTTCGGGGATCTGGGGGCTTCGGGGGCTTACCCCGAGCCCGCTTTAGAGGGCTGAAGGCTGAAGGCGGCCTCGAGGGGCATGGGAGGGCGATTCTGGGCATTTTTGTTGCGGGAACCGCGACCCGGGTCCGGAGGGTTTTGGGGAAGGCTTTTGGGGGGCTTGGGGTTTCAGGGCTGAAGGCTTAGAGGGCTCAGGGGCATGGAGGGCTGCTTCTCTGGGCTTTTGGGGCTTTTGGGGGGAGCCTGTTTTTTGTACTTGTGCAAGGCTCTCTCCAAAATGAGAAGCTTTCCTCAGGTGCCCTTTGCGCCGGTGCTTTCGAGGCAGCCTTTTCCGCCCCCCCTTGCTGCTCCGGGCTCACGATGTGCTCTCAGATGCCGAGATGTGCACATCGGCGGCAGATTTGCTTTGCAAAGGCCGGTGCTTGGACAGAAGCGTCACATCAGCTGCGGATAGACTGTCGAAGACCAGCAGAATACTTGTACTGTACCAATGGTCCAATGGTACAGTATTGTACTTGATGACGTGCCATGCGAAGAGGAGCCTTGACCGCAGCTGCCTGAGAGGGATCCGCCCGGGTGAAGCGGCACGGCTCTGACGGCTCTTACGGCTCTTACGGTTCTTGCGGCTCTTACGGCCCTCTTGTCCAGCCTGTGGGTTGATAAGAAAGGAGGATTTCGGAGGAGACAGTGCTGCCCACCCGAGCAAGCAGGGCTGATTCAAAGGCTGGAGGACCGCGGCCGCCGCTTCGCGGGGCTCACGGCATGAAAAACGCGTAGACCGGGAACTCCATATTGTCCAAGGCCTGCCGCTCCCAGCGGCAACCCACCCCCAGGGGCTTCTTCGTCCGGTCGTGGACGGGCGCCTTGCGCTCGAAGGATTGACCGTTAGAGATGCGGATTTGGCCTTCGCCCCAGCCAGGCGGCTTCCCATTCTTGAACGTCTCCCTTGGGCAGCCAAAACGGCAACTGGCAAGCGCCAACTCTAAACTCTATGGACACCCTTTTGGTTGCCATCCAAGGCTCTTGGGAAGGCCGCGCAGTTCGGCGTCTGCATCCGAGAGCTCCGACGAGCCTGCGCCATACTTCCGCACCCAAGCCTGAGCTGGAGCCCAAAAACGCCTTGCCAATGACAACGCGCGTGGAACCTCCTGGCCTGCGGTTAGGGTTTAGGGGTTTAACGTTTAGGGGCCATCCCCAGTTTGATTGGCAGCAATTGGCAGCCCTTATTGCAGTCCAAGCGTCCTCGTCATAGATATTCGACACTGCGCAGCAGATCACTTCCCCTCGCTCGTGGTGCCTGCGCACTTCACGCAGCCAGCGACAGCACCAGCCTTCGGAACGGGCAGCGGGACAGCACACGGTGCTGCGAGAACTGCTCAATAGATGCTGGCTCAAGAACGCTTTGGAATGCCAAAAGCCCTCGCCAAGCTCTAGCGGCTCTTGGCAACTACTCCTTTTGTTCTGGGCTCTGCAGCTTCATGCAACTTCTCTCTGCGAGAGTCTCACGCTTCCGTCCGAGCGGCAGACGTAGCTCTTGCCAACCTCGGAAACCTGAGAGGTGCAAAACACACGAACACGTGCATGCCTGACACTCGCGGAAATGCTAAATTTGCTCGGGTGAAGCCCGTCTCTGCCTCTGCTGAAGAAGACACTGCATGCTCTCTGAGGCGGCGGCGAGCGACTGGCTCCGGGAGTCCACCGTAGAGTTCCACTTGGCGTCGCGGCCCTCCTTCGGCGGCACCGGCAGCATGTCCCGGCCGCAGTCGTGGCTCGGGTGCGTCCAGCGCCCGTCGTCGGCAGCGTGGCCGAAGACCGGCTGCTCATCAAACCAGACTGTGGCCGTGCCTGGGCACAACGGCCGCTCTGACATGCGCAGCGGGGGGAAGCGGAACCGGCACAAGATGGGAGAAACCGTGGGAAGACCCGACGCGGAGGCTTGGGCCCTGTTGGGCCCCAGGCCCTTCCAGACCCCAGCCCCTCCGAGCAGCTGAACCTCCTGTGAAAAAAGTACAGATCGTGGATCTGTGGGAGTGCCTCCAAGTGTTGTTTCTTGACATGTATGTACTGTGTTTTTCTACCGTGTGTGGCTATGCATGGATGCTGTAGTTTCGTCATATACTGATATTATACTGATTTTATACTGATATTATACTGGTATGTATGTGTGATTGCTTGCAAGCATGCGGGAAACATCAGACATGAGCTTGAAAATTTAGGATGCTGGCCAGGATCAGGTATACAACTCGACAAAAAGCTCTCCTCATATTCTTTGGGAAACACTAGGACTTTTCTTGAACATCGGCTAAATTTGGGAGCTCAGTCTCAATAAAGCGCAATACGTACCCAAAGAAGAAGAATGAGGACTCCAGTGAAACTGAAACGCCAGCAAGATCACAATTAGCTGTGATGCAAATCAATGGAACTCCTTTGGAAAGTCACTTTTTGGTGTCTCCTGTTGAGGCTTCTGGAAATTAGATTTACTCCACGAAATGTTCTATGAGATCACGGGCGCAAGAAGATCGCAATTGCACTCTTTTGATGTAATGCGAGCTGTTGTGTCAAGGTTGCAGCTTACATGTCGGCAAGTGGTTCTTTAGTAGTCTGGTATTTTGTTGCGACCTTCTAGACTGCATCGAAATCCCAAAAAGGCTCAACAAACGTCCTTTGCTTTCAGTAGGGTGGACGTCTAGTTAGAGTCGGGTCTTAGTTTCAATTCTGCTGTCCCAATGATGTCGAGTTCTGTTCGACAAGTTGTACTAGATTCAACTTGAAAACCAAGAGTTCAAACAATAAACCCAATAGCAGCAAAACAGACATGACCTCAGGCCGTGGAAACGCTCTCCATGTGTCTCGGTTAAGCGGAGGTGCAGCGCCAAAAAGCGAAAAGACAAAAACAAAAACGAACCGTGCGAAAACAGAGAGACAGAGAGAGAGAGAGAGAGAGAAAAAAAAAATAGTAATAAAGAAACTAAAACACGCAAAAAACGGACCAGTCGAACAAAGACGCGAAAGAATGACTAACGAGTTTCTTTTGTTGTTGTAGACGCTTTGCGTTGTTTCTTGTTTGTTTTGCGTTGTTGTGCCTCTTTTTTGCTTTGCGTTGTTCGCCGTTTCGCGTGGTTCCTGTTTTGAAATGATTTTTCTGGACTGTCTCGCGCGTTTCGACGCCGGCTCCAGCACGGCAGGACGCGCGGAAGGTTTCCTGCAGGAACCAAGCCGACACATCCGAGGCTCCAAAATGTTCTGAACTCAGCGAAAAAGACCAAACAAAGAGAAAGCAAAAACAAAGGCTTAAAAGGGGGTCCATAGAGGTGAGAGTTAGAGGGGCTGGAGCCTTTGAAAGGGTCAAGAGGTCGTCCTCAAGGACTTCTAAGCCTTTTCGGGGTTTCTATGGGGAGGTCTGGGGTCGAGGGTGTCTCGGCACACCCGGAGCCGAGGGGCTCCCGTGTGAGGCCTCCTTCAGCTTCTCCATCACCTCCTCGTAGGCTTCGCCCCCGGGGACGGAGGCGCCGGCGGCCGGGAAGCGGTTGCGCATGTCCTGGAAGCACTGGTAGCTGCGGTAGTAGGTAAACACGAGGCCCGTCCCGGCCGCCTCCTTGCAGCGCCGGGCCAGGGCCTCGTCTTTTTGGAGCGCCTTAGACGCAAACTGCAGGAGCCAGTCCGCGCGCGTCGCCCGCACGGCCTTGAGGATGAAGTCCCGGTCGGCTCGGAGCTCCTCGGCCGCATGCGCCAGGGCAAAGCCATCGCTCTCCACGGCCTTCAGGACGAAGTCCCGGTCGGCCCGGAGCCCTTCGGCCGCATACTCCAGGGCAGCGCCATCGCTCTCCACGGCCTTGAGGACGATGTCCCGGTCGGCGCGGAGCTCCGCAGGGGCGTCCTCCAGGGCCACCAAGACTTCGAAGCCGGCGCCGCTGCGGAGGACCTCGAGGAGCCGCTGCCGGGCCTTCGGGGGAAGCGCGAGCGCCACTTTTCAGTAGTTGCTGCCACCTCCCTGAAGGAACTCCCGGCCTCGTCGGCCGGCTCAGCTTCTCCCTCAATCTCCCGGGGCCCGACGCCTCGCGGAGGAGGCCCCCCCACCCCAAAAAACGACAGAGCTTTCTGAGCTTGGAGCACCCGTGCTCTTTACAGTTTGGCACCTGGCTGGTTGCTTTTATTTGGTTGCGCCTTCTAGGCACCAGGGGTGGGGCTGCTCTTCGTGCTGCGCTTCTACTGTGCAGAGAGTTGGTCAAAACTGTCCACGTGGACCACGCCAAGCCCACTCCCTCCGACTCTCAGCAACTCTCCATTGTCAATTCAACCGATCGAATCTCAGCTTGGAAAAGGTGACACAAGCCGGACCTTGTGCCATCGGCTCTTCCATCTGTGGCTACCACCTAACACCCCTCCCCTCTTTCAATCGCTGCCTCCAATCAACTCCTCTTCCTTGCAGGGGCGAAGTGATGCTCATTTTTCGGAGACTCGAGATCCTGAACCGCTCTAACCCAAGCTGAAACCCAACCTCTGTCCGTGGTGGCAGTTTTGGAAGTTGGGCATGGGTGGTAGAATTGGTCGTTGGCGGTGGCGAAAAATTCTGCGGGAAGTGTGCCATGGGCTCCTGTCGAGTCGCTACAGTTTTGTTTTTTTCTTTTTTTGTGGGGTACGGGGGCAGCGAGGGGGAGGGGGAAGCATGACAAGAAGTGCAGCGCAAAAGCTTACGAACATAGGTCTGCTGAATGGGCCCCTGAGGCCAGTTCCATACCTGCTGCATGCAATGCAGGGTGCGATGCCGAGGGGGTTACAAGGGTTGAAAGTCGACTCTGGAGCTCCCCCCCCAAAAACCCCCACGAAACTGAACGCGGATTGCACACAAAAGACTGTCTGGAAATGCAAAAACAAGCATGCCCGGCCCTCTCCAGCAGGTTGCCATGGGCCTCGAGTTCTGCCACGGGGGCCGGCGCGACTGGCGGGGAGTCTGCGTCCTCCTCCGGCACTCGCGCTGCCGAAGCAGCGTGCTCTTCCGCCGTCTGCCCAGACCTGCCATCCACAAGCCGAAAGCGTGTCCCCTTGACACTGCCATACACTCTTTCACAGGACACCTAGTCGGTGCATCTTCTGCGCTAAGGGTGGCAGCTCCCCATCCCCGAGCCTCCCGAGCTGCGCTTGCAGCAGCCTTGATCGAATGTGTGCGGATGTAGGCCTTGAATCTCGCGTGCACAAACATGCTCGACAGGACGCCAACATACTCTGCTGTTCTACCCGTTCTCTCATACTTCCTGCACTGCTTCAGAACCGCGGTGCCCCAAACTCTGGAGAAAATAGGTGAAAGGCAGCACAGACTGAGGGAGAGAGAGAGAGAGAGAGAGAGCAACTGGGAGCTAGTCCCCCCATTTGAGGACAGTGACCTCGCGGCGCTGCTTGGGCGGCTCGGCACTGCACTGGCGGGTCGCGAGAGGACCCTCGCACAGGCTTCCGCCTTGCCTGAAGAGCTTACCGAAGGATCGCAAAAACACACACAAGACTCTCAAACTCATTTCCCTGTAAAGACTGTAAAGCCATTCCTAGTGCTGCCCAGTGGCTCTTGGCCGCAGTGAGCTGTTCGATCATGTAGGCAAACCTCGGCCGGACACCACCCAGCAGGTGACAGGCATGTGCATCTCTGCCGCGGGTCGGACTTCAGTCTGTCTAACGCGGCTTTCTCTCACGACAAGCCCGAGCCCTTGTTGCAAAGCGGAGCGAGCTGGCGACCCTACACCCGCCGATGTTTCCGGATGTCAAGCCAGGTTACGGATCTTGGGGCTTGTCCTCCACATGCACTGTCTCAGACGGGATCTTTTTTGGTTCAAGTCACGTCCCTCTGCACATGCTGCCAGACGCCACATCTACCTCATTTCATCGACAACGAATACCCCAAACAGATTGAGCAGGCGCACCGGTCCTGGATGACGGCATGGAGCAGTGACTGGATGTACTTCAGCAGGCCATTCCTTGAGCTAGCGGACGACACCGGGCACGCCGGTGAGGGATCCAATTAAAAAGTAGCAAACAAAACACAATGGAACACTCCCAAAACTCTAAGTTTCAGCCTCCGACTGTTGGCAGGCTTGCGCAAACTGCAAATGTTGTAACCTATACAGCCTTTCTGGCTGTTCAAAAAGCCGGCACCAAGCCCTTAGTCTATGTCGCATCTCTGACGCTTCGATCGCTCCAAATACTGTAACTTACAGCACCACGAGTCCTCGACAGGCTACGAACACAGCCAAAAATGCCAGCATGCCAAAGATGCCTGCATTGCTGACTGTTCACCGACGCGAAAAGCCTGCGAGTTACAGCCCGCTCCCTTTGCAACCTTGCACCCAACCCTCAAGTTGGACTCACACGTCTGTCAGCGGTCTCTGGCGAAACGACAGGAGTTGGCTGCTGCCGCTGCAAGCCGGCTTTAAAACAAAGTGGCTTGGGCTCTTGGGCTTTGGCACGGGTGTTTGCACAGATCTAACATGTCATAACAAGAGCAAGGAGGGGGTTCCGTGGGGTGGGGGGGGGGGGGCAGCCGGGGGCCCCCCCCCCCCCCCCCGCAACCGCCCTGCCGACCCCCCCACAAGAATACAAAAGGCGGCCCTTGCTAAATTACATGCTATGACCTTTGCTGAGGCATTTGTTGACCTGTATTGAAGTTATTCATTCTTCTCATTTAGATCCGTCGTCCCCTCTTGCCGCAGGCCTGAGCACCTGTAGACACCTAAAACCCCCTAGGGCATGCCATCAGCATGCTCGCGTCAGTCTCAGGCACACTCAACTTCACTCAACCATCCGCTGTGTGAAGCAAGGGCTCTGCTCCAGGTAGTGCTTTGCAGCGGCCGCCGAGTCGTTGGGCTGCAGCTCTCTGGCAATTCCTGGAGCGCCTACTGGAGGGCCGGCACCACAAAACTGCTACCTTCCCCCCCCGCCCCCCGTCCCACAAAAAAACATCCCGGCACTAAGGGTGCCCCCTGCCGTCCCCTGCTGTCCCCTGATGCCCCCTAAACCCTAAACCCTAAACCCTAACCCCAAACCCCAAACCCTAAACAATTCTCTGAGTCTCCTGGCTCTCCTCCGGATGCTCGGACATGTAGGCCCATGGCACTCTCCGAGTGCTTGAACCCTATCCCATAGTGCTCCTGCGCAACATCTCTTAAGGCACCATGGGGGAAGACCATGTCTGGGGTTTAGGGTTTGGGGTTTAGGGTTTAGGGTTTAGGGTTTAGGGTTTAGGGTTTAGGGTTTAGGGTTTAGGGTTTGGGCTTTAGGGTTTAGGGTTCATGGTGTCTCAACATGTGGGGGTTTACGATCTTCGGGGTACCTTCTTGGGGTCCTTGTTATAAGGGGCACCCTACTACTTGGGGGTCTGTTCTAGGGGTCCCCTATTTTCGTAAACCCCCGTGCATCAAGCACATGAGACATGTCTGGTGTTTGGGTGTCTCCTCATGTGGATGGAGCACAAGGTGCGTGGAAGCAATCCGCTGGAGCACCTCAATCTTCAACGGCTCACCTCGCAAGGACATTCATGCGCGCACAGGGCTGTCGCAGCTCTGGTGCTGCTGATGCCAGGTTGAATGATGTGCATAAAGCATCCAAGTCTAAAGACTGTGCAGATTTCGTGAGTCCAGCTGAGCTGGGCGGTGCGTGGCCAAGTGGCTGAGGTCTTCCAGCTGAGCCGGAAACTTCAGGGGGTGAGACAATGCCTGGGCTGCTGACCCAACACCAGGCTCTCACAACCGCAGGGGTCGTCCCTGTGCATGGAGGGGTGGCGCTTGGAGTTCCTCTGCCTGCCTAAACACGAAAACCAAGATCATCCAAGCCCTCGAACCGAGGTCGAGAAGAAGGGCTCCCAGAAGCTACCTTTTCCAATATTTACTCCTGCCAAAGCACAGACTCCAGCGGAACTTGTCGCCTGACCAGAAAGGACGAAAAGCTTGACTGGCTATTCCTCCGCCGTCGGCAATCTCTAGACCGGACTTGCTGGTGCGATGTTACCCTGTGGAATCCACTTTTGCGTCACATGCTCCTGGACTCGCGGGGGCTGCAAGCCGACTCATGCGTAGCTGAAGAGACAAAGGGGGTACAAGGTTTAGGGTTTGGGGTCTGGGGTTTAGGGTTGCCTGGTGTTGCCGTAGCGTATGGACACCAGCGCATCGTCGGGGAGGCCGAAGGCATCAGTGACGAGCACCTGCTTGTCACAGGAGTGCATCCACACCCTGCCTCTCTTCAAGCATCTCACAACTGCTCCACAGCGACTGCAGACGCCTAACCCTAACCCTAACCCTAACCCTAGCCCTAGCCCTAACCCTAACCCTAACCCTAACCAGCCTCCATGGCAGGCCACTTGGACTCCACTTAGTGGACCGTCGTGGCAAACGGAACTCCCCGCTTAGAAAGCTTGGGCCCCCCCCACAAACAGCTGTCGGAAACCGCCGGGTTTTCCCCACCGATGTAGGGGCTTGCGCAGGCTTCTCTTCCGCACATGGGGTCCCATTACACTAACCCCTAAATGTGGCCGAGAAGACCTCTCCCTTTACTTTAGAGCCTTCTTAAAGAAGGCGACTCTAGGGCCCTTCTCTCTGGGGGACCGTCACCACGCGACAAGGGCTTCGAGAACTTAACCGCAGAAGGGGGTTTGCTGGGTAGCTCGGGTGTAGTACCGGATCCCATGACTTCTGTCATCAGACCCCAAAGCTGGGATTTCATTGGGTTCCAAGGAAGGAACCTCCATCAGAAGCAGAGAAAGAGACCAGGCCCTACTAACGCCTAAGAAGGCTGCAGTTTAGACCCTGCTCAAAAGGGCATCACCTTTGTGATCCCATGTTTTGTAACCCTAAACCCTAAGCCCGAAGCCCTAAACCCTAAACCCTCAACCCTAAACCCTAAACCCTAAACCCTACACCACCTGCCGGAGCCCTCCGCCATTTTCCGCGATCGGCGGAAAGCCAACTTCTAGTCTCGGGGTCCTTCGTGGACACGCACCTGGGCGGTGCCGTCACGTCCCATGCGCACACACCGCCTTCAGCTATCTGAATCGTCCACCCTCCCCAACTTCCTGAAAGCCGCCACCCCCCCACCCCCCGCCCCCCCCCCACGTGACTCTTTTACAGGGTCCTTGTTCTATGGGTTTGGGTTGGGATAGCCAAACCCTAAACCCTAAACCCTAAAACCCTAAAACCCTAAACCATAAAACCCTGAGACGCGAAACCGAGCCTTGACAAAGCCCTCGCGCCTCATGGTTTCTTCGGCCAAGCCGCTGCAGGTGCCTGGCCCGAGAACTCCGCGGACTCTGCGAAGGCTGCGTAAACCTGCTGAAGATCTGCGTCAGGATTTACGGGGCTGAAGGTTTGGGGTTTACAGGGTTTATGGGGTTTAGGGTTATAGGGTTTAGGGTTGGGGTTTAGGGTGAATAGGGTTCAGGGTTTATAGGGTTTAGGATTTAGGGCTCAAGGTTTAGGGTTCCATTAGCGTTTAGGGCGAAGGTGGCCGACTGCAACTTGAGGGCGATCCAAGTTTGCGCCCCAGTCGTGCCTCCTCGAACAACTGGTGAACCAGCAATCCCGCCGTTCCTCGGCTTCAAGGCTTCCAAAAAAGGCGTCTCTTGTCTCGCAATGAGACCTACGTATCGTTGACTCAATCTGCACTTTGATCTCAAGAAAACCTACTTGCTAGAAACCCCAAACCCAAAACCCAAAACCCCAAACCCCAAACCGTAAACCCCAAGCCCTAAACCCCGAACCCTAAACCCCAAACCCTAAACCCCAAACTCTAAACCCTAAAACCGAAGGCAAAGGGGCGGTAGGACTTGGC